CACACACACACACACACACACACACACACACACACACACACACACATAGTTGTGTTTTTATCCGTACATGTCCGTATTGGGCCGTGTCGAATACCTCGCACTTAATTACTATTTATTGGAAGTCCCGCTCATCCTCTTTTATCGCTCCTCTAAATAATTTCCGCAAATAAGAGGGTTTCGGGCTCCTGCATGCGACGGCATCTCAGCTTCCACCCATCAAAGTTTAATTGAAGCCGCGTTTTAGTTTTTGAATAAAGAACACTTAAAAAATTTAGATGCAAATTATTCTGCATTATTCATGCTCTCGTCGTCCTTGTAGATTTAAACATTTGTGAGGCCACCTTGATTTGAGTCATTACCTCGACTCGGGCTGTTCCGTCATGAATAAGGTATTTCCTACAAGTGCAGCACTCACCCGATGAGCTTTTAAAGTGCCTTTACACTCCGTCTGCGCAGCGCGAATGAGCGAATCGAGTGAAATCCGTCTCAGGTGGCGGATCCTGACAGGAGAGAGAGACTCTTTTCTCTGCGAAGTCTCGGATCGCTCCGCTCTTTGGGAACGCGACCAACTTTACCTGAAAGCCAGAAGAGATCCTCAGAAATAAGGCAGCTTTGTTTGAGAATCCTGCTCAATTTGTGCTCCGTTTGTAGCGATGAGGGGTGAACAGCCCTCGAGAGGCACATCTGAACACCTGGGAGAGAGACAGACAGTTCTTTTTAATTACTCGACACGGATTGTCGCTGCTCTTGCGATCCCAGATTATTGACTGTTACCTGTATGGACTGACATGTGGGATCAATTGTAATTTGCTTTAGCGTTTCTTCAGATGTGGCTCGAGGATTCTTGAACACACACAAACACAAACACACACACACACACACACAAACACACACACGCACACACACGCACGCACACACACACACACACACAGAGGTTTTTAGCGAGGTGCAGAAGATGAAGCGGTGATGATATGATTTGAAACATCCTGGCTCTTAGCATCACTTAAATCTACCTCGCAAGAACAAACTGGAGTCTTTAAATTATTCCTTTTCATCTGCACGCAAACAGCCATAAAGTGATGAAATCTGCGGATCCCAGAAGCTTTTACTCTTAAAGTCTAAAGCGCTGCCCAAATCTGCAGTAATGAAACCGTTGTTTGTTTGTTTGCCGAGAGAGAAAACCTAAGAGTAAGAGAGAGAAAGAGAGAGAAAGAGAGCGCTCCTGTGGCCCCTGCAAGAAAAATAAAGTAGTTGACACAGTGTCTCGATCATCTTTACTACCCGCTGGAAGAATTAATATTTAAACATTCTAATAATGCGGCTTGCCTTGCATGCACTTTTAAGCAAAGCAACAATATTTTTCACCTGGGGTAACAATGATTTTTCATCCTGCTGAGTGCAATTTCCCTTTCTAATGCGTCTGTGGAGCTTCCACCGTTGGGCAGGCCGAATTTCCTCTTTATTATTTCCCACTGAAAGAGAAAAAAATATTCATAGAGGTAAATATATTGAAATGAATTTTCGTGTCCATGAGCAAAGAAGAGCTCAGGCCGCCGTCTCTCCCTCCAAAGCGGTGTAATGATTGGAAAAAACCTTCTGCATTATGGGAGAAAGGGTGCGGAAAAATCTAAATATACACGTGCTGAAATCGTCTGCTATTTGAAAATCTTGCGCTTTCCTTCGAAACATCATCAGTTTTTTTCTTTCTTTATTTTCCCCACAATCGCTCCTGACAACTGGGGTGTCAAAAAAAATTTATTTAGTTTGAACAAATGCATATCACCTGGAGCGCAACGCTCGTCTGATTTTCTCTTTCGCTCTCTTTTGCCTTAAAGGTTTTTAAAAAGCCACTAAATAGGTGGCGCGCCTGCAACACAATCACACATCCCAACAAACAAACAGAAAAGAAAAGATGTGTAGAAATGAGTGTAGATATTCCCGGTGGAGTCGAGCGGAAAGGATGCGTGCGGAGATCTGCTGTGTGTCACGGAAAATGGATTCCTGAAGCCTGAAGCCTTTGTAATTGATCACGAAAATGAATTTTTGAGTTGTGTGGGCAAATTGAATGACATAAATAAGAGTTATGGTCTCCTTTTCTGTTTATGTGTAGCTGTATAGTTGAAATAGAAAGAGGCTGTGTGTGTGTGTGTGTGTGTGTGTGTGTGTCTGATATGCACTAGTGCTGGATGACATAGTGAATATTTACACTATAGTTGTCATTTAATATGCTGGCGATATAAATTTAAGCAACACTGTGGGTATAATGAACAAGAGCAAAAATACAGATGTATTAATAGTTTTTGCATTTAAACTTCAGTTGCAAAAATGTCATTAGATTCATTTGAATTCAGTTTGAATCGGTTCGGACCAGGCTTTTTAGTGAACTGATTCAGTGATACGTTTGTGTCATGCAGGAAGGTTCACAGGAGTCTCCATGCGGCACTTTCATGTATTCTTTAAGTTTCTTTAAAATATATGTGCATAAGTAATTTGTTATAATTATTATAACTCATTTTGAATTTATATAAATGTAAGCAACACTGTGAATATATGTGAAGAGAGTGGAAATACATATGTTTCAATAGTGTTTTGCATTAAAAAAAAATGCAGTTTGAATAGTTTCCGCCATGCAAAACTGTTCCCAGGAGTCTCCATGTGGCATTTTCATGTTAAAAATAAATTAATAAATAATTGAAAATATTTGCATAAATAATATGTTTATTATTTTGTATGATTATACTGGTGTATATAAAGGGAAATGTTTAAGTAATGAAACAGGTTCACTTATGTATCAAGATATATATTTAACATCACCAAAAGACTCAAAAGTATCACATAAAAAGTCGTTCCCTGCGATATGAATGTTACAGTGCAAATGCAGGTGGAAATTTTCCTCGTAAGCCTTTCATGTCAAACCTCCGGTGAGCTTTACTAAAGCACACACATACAAGCTTTTATGCACTTATTGCTCTCTAGAGCTCTTCAAAGAGATGCAGTTTTTCCTGCGACGTCTCACCTGATTGAAATCTAACAGCTGCTGCGCTTCGTCTCTCATCTGTCGAGGTGGGAAAGAAACAGACGATTAGTTTCCACTTCACTCCGTTTGAGTCTCGCACGTCTCTGCGGCGCGTCAGACCGGCCTTTGAAAAGAGATCGCTCATGCTAAAGGGGCTCTGACAGGGCAAGGGCAACAGCCTCGGGTTCATCTCTACCCCACGGCAAAACAGAGCAGCGCTGCTGGCTACACACACACACACAACACACACACACACTCACACACACACACACACACACTCTCTCACTCACACACACACTCTCTCTCTCTCACACACACACACACACACACACACACACGCAGGTGAAACCAGAGATGGGTTGTAACTAGATGACAGATTAAAGAAACAGTTTGCTGAAAAACAAAACTGCTGATATCCTTTACTCATCCTTATGTTGTTCCAGACCCGTAGGCTTTCTCTCTTCTGTGAAAGAAAATAGGAGATGCTTAGCAGAATGTTCACGCTGCTCTTTTCCATATAAAAATCATCCTAATTTGGACGTTTAAAGACTGTACAAATGCTACAATAAAAACCTGTTAATTGATTAAATTGATTAATGGTTAAAGTTCTCTTAAGTCCCGTTCACACCAAAAACGACACCTATAAACACAATTATACCTATATTAGTGTCCGCAACAATGTACAATAATTGTGTTTATTCAAAATGTGCAATGCAGTTTTGTTGTCTTCTGCCTTAAATACTTGAACTCTTTAAAGAAGGATGGATTCTGATTGGCTTGGTCTTTATCGTTCATCAGCTGGAAAAAAAAATCAATCTAAAAGTGATTCAAACTAAATTTTAATAATGATTTTTAATCGTTGTCACAGTTATCATTCTTGGTGTGAAAAAGCCTGTACTGTATACATTGAAAAACTGTAATAGATAGAAATCTCATGTAATTTTGCATTAAAATATTGTTAAATGTAGAGTTTGGAAGTGAAAATGAAGTCATATCATAATTTACAGTGAAAAGCATAAATTGACATTCCGAAATCTCACAGTTGATGTTTTTTCATTGAAATAACTATGTTTCTTCTTAATTTTTTCTTATCAGTTATGCAAATTAGTTTTTTTATTTTACACCTTATGTTGTTAAATCAGTGTTTATTGCATTGTTTCAGTGTCATGTATGTTACCACGATGGTGTTTTTTTTTATTAGAGACACTGTGCGTGCACCTTCTATATTAGTGTTTGCGTTTTATGGAAAAGCTATTTGATGAATTGTGATTCGACATATGGCTTTCTATTTATCAGCTGTTTTAAGGTGGTTGTCAGTATAAGTAAAAATCAGATTTTAGTAATCTGCTATATTAACAGTAAGTTAATGAACCATTTCAGGTTTTTACAATTAATCGAATACGTTCAGTGTGTAAAATTGCTACAGTATTTTTACAGTAAAAAAATCACAAATTTTCCTTTTTGTTTCAGTACAGTGGGCATGAACGTGAACAGATACTTTTACACTAAAAAATGACAAGAAAAACACCATAAAGTTTCGGTTTAACATTCTGCTAAACCTTTCCTTTTGTCTTATGGGTTTGCAACAACAAGAGTGCGAGTGAGCGATTTCATTTTTGAGGTAACTGCCCCTTTAAGGCTGCGGTGCAAGCGTAGACACACACAGTCTGTCGTCCCTGGAGAAGCTCTGTGTCTGACTCTCTCAGTTATAGTAATATGGAGAGGCTCTGGAACACCTTTTTAAAACGTAATTGATTCTTTTTAAGCAGCGGCCCGCGCTGACACACTGCATTATGATCTGGAGAGCAGCAGTCGGATGGAGCGGCCCGTCGCTGTGTGTCGCCGGGAATTACTCTGGACTGCTGGGAATGTGGGTTAGACGGATGGGGATTTGCTGTGGGTCGGCCCAGATGACATTCAGACAATTAGATAAACTCATATCTAATTTAAGTACAACTGACAACAGCGGTGCACTGGAATGCGTCACACATGCGTGCAGAATGTTTGTCTAACTTTCTTGCATAGTGTGTGTGTGTGTGTGTGTGTGTGTTTTAGAATGTATGTTTTGTGCTGCTGTTTCTATGAGTTAATCAATCAGACTCATGTTTGCACACATGAATCAACATTCAGGAGGTTGGTATTGCTCGGGTGTTGCTCCTTCTTAATGGAAAGAGCCATGGAGTTCCTGGATATGTTTTATTGACATATCAACTTTATCTCAGAAGTTTCTCCTAAAATTCCTCAAGAATAATGAAATAGACTAAAACGAGTCACTGTAAATAAATATATATATATATATATATATCTGTTGGTTTAGCTTAATCCACACAATTTTTAATTAATTGAAACTCAAAATATCGAGCTAACACAAAGAAGACACTTTTTTTAAACTTTGTGTTTTGTTGCGATCATTTTAAAGTTGCACTGCAAAAAAATAATTAAATTAAATTAAATGAATAATTACATAATATAACATTTAAAATACTTTTTTTTTTAAGTGTATTTTTGACTTGATTTCCAGTACAAATATCTAAATTCTTAAATCTAGATACAAGCAAAATATATTGTGTTGTTTTCTGAAAATATATCAAAATTAAGCGAATTTTTGCTTAAGAGAACAAAAATTTGCCAGTGGGGTCAGAATTTTTTTTTCTTGTTTTTAGCATCAACTCACTTAATTTGGATACATTTTTGGTCACTTTGCTTCTTAAATAAATGTATTTTGATTTAGGAACGTTTAGATATGTGTGCTGGAAAATGTGTACCTTTTTTTTTTCAGTTCATCCAAGAGTATAAAGCTATAAAATGAATGTGGAGAGCAGCTCAGGTCAGAAATGTTTGAGTTTATATTGACATCTCTGACTTCTGATTGGAGACTTTTGGCAACAGTTTTAAGAGAAACATCTAATTTATTATTCTTTTTTTTATTTAAATTTTTTTTTTTTACTACAGTAAATGTTCGCCATGCATCAGGAGCCGTCAGTCTAAAGTCAAGTGAGTGAGTGGTGCATTTTTTTTAGATAGTTGAGCTCAGATTGAAGGACTCAAGAAGAGGTTTACGTGTGCTAGTAAAGACACGCTCTCTGAAGCATGCACTGTTTCTGAGCGCGAGTTTGAGACCGCATCGGACGGCGGGTTACAAGACACTCTGAATGAGT